CCTTCCTTTCCCCACTCTTGCCCTCTTAATTTAATGTTATCTCCTCTCAGATTATAAATTTATTAACATGCATTCGCGCACTCATAGCCCTATGTTGTTGGCTGCGTCGTAAGACTCTCATCAAAGTATTACATGTACTCTTACTACAGTAACATGCAGGCTGTCATCGATAGCTTTTAAAAAGCATAATATAATAATATGAGCGCAAGTCTCAAATGGGGTGGCAAACTAGCAACGAATGGAGAACCGAAGTGCGCAAACAGGTACGCGGAAATAACATCAGAGAACTGACGCACAAGTTAGGCCTAGACTGTATTGCATGATAAATTTCCTTGTAGGCACAGTCGAGTCTCCGGATCTTTTTTATTCTTTCTTAAGTTTGAGTATGCATACTTTCGTTCAGAGCGTGGGTGGCTTTCTGTCGAATCTTGTTGACGCAGGGAGGAACCACGTCACGTTATGGACTTGGTGTTAAAATGTCTTTTGAACCCCCTCCCCTCCCCTCCCCTCCCCTCCCACACACACCTTCCCTTCTTGATTCTTAATTTTCATCTTTTAGACGTACTAGTACTAACAGGCAGACAACGCACCGACCACGGCTAAATAAAATGAGTTTTTTTTAACGGGGAAGGAAAAAATAAACGTCTGAAAAGAAATCTCTCTCTAATCTGCCTGTATATCCACCTGTCCATCCATTATCCAACCGTCCGTCCGTCCGCCCGTAAGTCCTTCCGTCCACCCACCCACCCAACCATTCTATCTATCTATCTATCTATCTATCTATCTATCTATCTATCTATCTATCTATCTATCTATCTATCTATCTATCTATCTATCTGTCTGTCTCCCCACCCCCTCCTCCCTCTCTTTTTCTCTCCATGTTCTCTTTCTCTGTCTCTCGCTTCCTCCCTCTCTTACTTTTTCGACTTCCCCAGATGTGCACTTCGTTATACGTCCATCTCTCATCCTCATCCTTCCATCTCTGGGGGTAAAGGGACCCCTTGCCTAAAGTAGGCCTATGTCTTGTCGCGACTGTGTCATTTTAAAAACTTACTTCAGTTGCTTCTTGTTTTTATACTACCCCCCTACCCCCTCCACCCTTCTCTGACTGTCTATATG